CCAGAAGAGAGTCAGTTCAGTGCATGATTCAACTGGTGGATAATTGAGGGGCTCACGCAATGAGCAATTGAGTGGCAAGTTATAACGGACAAGCACTGGCAGGGTGGTTCTCTGACTCCGATGGGATAAGTCGCGCCATGCTGTTGTGATTTACAAGAGTTCGCAATGTTGGCAGCACGCAACGGAAGTGTGAACAGCAGAAAGCGAATGAACCCCCGCATCACCAGTGCCGGCAGATTGAAAACAGAGTGTAGACTGTAGACTGTTCCGGCCAGGGTTCGTTCCTAGTCAGAGTACGGGATAAGCAAAACTGTGACCGCTTGCAACTTTGAGGTTCCCTTTGTGCGCGCGAGATGCAACAGGAACAATCAGGAACATATCATTTTGCCCAATGCTTTGCCTTCTAGTATGATGTGCAACTCGCTCAAGTTGCTCCTTCAAAACACAGTGTTTGGTCATTCGTCAATGTTGACTGTGTAAGTTGAGTCACAGAAGCAAGTAGTGTAGCAGTGTAGCTCTTGGACTGATGGGTACTGGAGCGGTTAGCGCGGTAGGGAGTTACAGAACCCAGTAGCGGATCCTTTCTGGGTAAGTCTTGTGAGCTCAACAGCTCAGCAGTGCAGCTGGTGAGATAGTGAGTTGTTCACCGTTCACTGCATGGTGTACCAAGAATTACCAAGACACTGTTTTCTTTGTTCATGGCTTGGAAGTTTTTTCTCCTTTAAATTCTGTTGGGTAAGGTATGGCTGCGACAACAGAGACCGGAGATACTTGCTCTCCGTCTACGGCTACATTTTTGATGTCTCAGACCGCTCGAAACTGAACACATGCATCGATGAGAATTCAGACATGTCAACTCATCAAAAATCTCTGGCCTGCAACGCAAGGTCCTGACAAGTACGACCCAAACGGTCCGTATGCAAGTCTGACGGGGAAGGACAGTGTTCCAAGATGTTCTACGTCTAGCACTTCGAGCAGAAGTGGGGCCAACCGTGCAACCGCTGCAACTCTTGCCCTGAAATCCTGACTAGTTTGGCTTCTGGTTTGCCAGGATCTTACCTGGGGATTATTTGCTGGTGTCGACACTGTAGAATATACAAACAAGTTGGATGCTCAGCCTGGAAAGTTGTATGAACAACGGGAAAAGGTAACCTCATCGTCAAAGCGTCAGGCATGGAAAGCTCATTTCAAAAGAGAAGCAAGGATGATTCCTCCAGAAAGCTTTGAAATTGGTTGGTCCTTTGGTAGCTACCGGCAGCTCAGGAAATCTTCTTGCATAGAATCTTTCTTGAAAAACAGAGAACAATACCCTTTGAATCCCTTTGATAGATGCATATAAATGCTGTACATATTTAAATATGACATGGTTTCACACCAGCTATCGCTGAAAATGAATGAGAGCTATCAGATATTGTATATATGATATATACAGTAGTTTTGGTGCCTTTGTGTGTTTGTTTATGTGTCTGTTCACATCATCTTCTCCAATTTTACTATTTTGAGTAGGCTCTAAGAATCTCTGCAACAATCGTTGACTCTGCTACCATAGCCCAACAGACCTCGTTCACAAATTCACATGTGGCAGCCTCCATGCGTGGTTGAAACAAATCAACATAGGTCTTGATTTGCAATGTCTATTAGTCTAAACTGTGAAATCTTTTAGTGTGTCACTTGAACTGGCCTTGAAGTACTAAATACTGGGTGTTGTCATTGTTTCTCACTGCGCGTACCGTGGTTACCCTGGAGACTGCCGGGATTGCGTTTGCATGATGAGGTTCTACGATCTCTTCAAGGCACGAGACCTTGGAAAGGACCAAATTCCGAGCACTTGAGATGATGGCCGGACCTCGAAACCTTGTCCTGTGCTGCCCTGTTGCGCTGGAGAGGACAAGATGACCGGTGTTTGCAGTTGGCTTGTAGACAGCCCAGCAGTCTTACTATGAAAATCTCCGGCACTTTGCCCGGGACTCGATTGACCTTTGTAGTTTCGAGGCTTGGTACGAAACAGAGTATGGAAAGCCGGTTGGCAAATTGGAGCAGGACTCTCAGCTTGGAATTCACCTTCGAAACAAATCCTACACTGAAGCAGCTGAACTTTCTGAAGCACTGGGGAAGACTGGGGCCTTACAGAAACATCCAAAACTCAGACCGTCTTAGGATTATAGAAGTCATATGTGCAGCTAAGATGAAGTGTAGCGTTCAACACAAGATTTGTGTGAAAAATATGTGCGCAAGAAGAGAGACATGTTCTGCATGTTTTGTTTTCTTGGCAACCAGATTCAAGATAAGTAAAAAGGATATGTTGTGAGATACCTTGAATATCCTTGATTTGTTTTGTGAAAGTTTTCTCCAAAAGTTAATTGCACATGAGGCCATGGCAGCGTGAGTCTGAACTGCCTGCCGCGTTCTTAGAAGCCATGACAGCATCAAAAAGCGACTTGATGTAACGTGTCTAGCAGTCTGGGAGATGGAACTGCAGGTTGTTGTGGTCTGCATTTCTTTTGGTGTGTCCTTTTTTTGTTTGTGACGCGGGGCCATTTGGGTGGGTCCCTTTCCTGTTTTTTTTGACATTCAATAGATTTCAATATCACCTCTGTTTTTTCAGATTTGCAGTGTAAGTTGGTCGGAATGGTGCAGGCCCCCCCACTGGCAGAGATCGAAGAGATGTGCGTGGCAGCGAGCTTTGGTGACAAGAGACAGGACTCAGAATTTTCAAAGGCTTTTGCATGAATGGATGCCCCAAAGTGTGGAGTGGACACAATTTTGGCTCCAAGTCGATGTCTATATATTTGTTCCATACAAGCAGGTTGGAACCTGGATTTCTGCATCCTCGAGCCGATTCTTTTTTGTGTTGGGCGTACACGCAGCCATACACACACATATTTGGGTTTCATGGAAGGAATGCGATAAATGCAGGATCTTGCAAACACCTGCAACGTTTGAGTATTTGTTCGGAATCTGTTGCGTGCACATGAGATCTATCATGGGAGGACTGTCTCCTGCAACCCATAGAACCATAAGAGCGCAGTCAGATCGCACCCTCCTACCCAGAGTAGGGGTATGTTAGAATTCTGTTGCCATGCTGCAAACCCTCGTTCTGGCAGCCTTTTCATGTTGGTTCCAGGTGCATCTAGCGGTGGATCATTGCAGACACACGACTAGACTAGACCAAGGGAAGAGGCGGAATGAAGATATGGGAACTTTGCGCTGAATTCTTTCCGTAGTAAAGTCGCCGAACCTTTTTCAGTTGTCTCTTCTAGTTCTAGTCATTCTCGGCTCTAGTTTAGGTGCCTGGTCAACTCAGGAAATAGTGATACCATCCTCCTCGATGCAAGCACATGTTTTGAACATGACGCGTTTATACACATGAAACTTGCATGGATGTATATATATATATATATACTGTACATATATGTAATATGTTGTAATATGTTGTAATATGTGCCGCAGAAGCTTTAAAGCTAATTGTGCCCAGTGAGCTCACTCTGCACGATTCGCCAAGGTCATGTGAGCCCAAAAACCGATGCTGCAGGAGTTGGGTCGATCGGTCGATTTCTTTTTGTTTGCTCAGAACATGGAGAAAACACATCACCTTTGGCCTTTGTTTCAAACATGGATGAAAGATAATGACAGGACAAATGTGACAAATGCTCTATTTTTTAATTTGCTCAAAATGTTACTTTCACATGTGATCTACGTCATTCACACTGAGGAGTTTTTCAGCAGCAATTCTGCCTGTGGCCTTTTCAATTTCCATGAGTTCAAAGGAAGGACCTGCGACGACTCTAGTCAACACAGAATGTGTTTGCCCATGTACAAAGATGCAGAGATTCCTGAGATTCCTAGCCAGTCTAGCCAGTTTGCCATCCTCAACTGGTATGGCCAACATGGCCATTTGCTCCAGACTCTGGCGTGCAGAGCGAGGCTTGGTACTTGCAAAATTCACTGCAGCTTTTCTCCTGCTGTGTTACAAGTTGCAGGTCCAGAAGGAGAGTTGTCAAAGGGACACAAGGGTATGCGGGTTGGTCTGACTAGGTGGTGTTTTCTCTTGCTTCTTGTACTTTGAAACGGTTTGTAGGTTTGTATTGCGTGCGGTCAGACGTTTGCAAGGGTTTGCTTTACTTCAGTGGTGCGACTTTCTTCGGGTTTATATATCCAGCTAGTGTCCGGTCATAGAGGTACCACCTGATGCTGTGTGAATGCAATGATATTGACATTAATTTGATGTACTTTGAATGTGTTTGATAGTTGTACTTGTCACTTGGTACTCCACAAGACTCCACAAGACCCTCACTGTGAAACACTGGATCACTCTCTTTGTTCCCACCTGCGCCCTGCGCCCTGTCCAGAAATCCGTGACCTCCTGGGCGTCCGATGGATCCGATGGACCCTGTATGACTCACTGTACAAAAACAAAGTCTGTCTCTGTCTATCCGTGTCCGTGTCTCACCGTGTCTCACCGTGTCTCAGCGTGTCTCACCGTGTCTCACCGTGTCTCACCCCTTGGGCCCTGGTTCTGAAATGCTCAGCTACATTTACACACTCTGGGCAGGACCATTTCTGTTTTCATGAATTTCTATTTTGCACCGCGAGCCATCCACTTGGGCCCACAGTGAACAGGAATTTTCAATTTGCACACCTCGCTGCTTCTTTGGTTCTTGCAAGCGCTGCAAGTGCATCAGACAAGTGATGGATGCTCTTGTATGTAATGCGTCATGTGGATAGATGTTTGGATTGAGCAGGACTTGCTTCCAGACAGCAATCTTTTTGCCGTAAACAAGTGGTAGACCTTTTACCTCCCAAAGTCAACATCCAGTATAGTCTATTTGCTGCCATTGGAAACCAATGAAGAAGATACATGAGCCAACAAATGCCATATATTGAAAAACGGAGCAGACAGTAACGCAGTGCTAGATTTACATAGAATCACACAGTGATGTTAATGTAGAGTTGAGTGAAAGGGGTTCGACTAATTTCAACTATATAAGTGTACTTACACTGTGTACACTGTGTACACTGTGTACACTCTAGACATGCTTTCCACTTCGACCGATCCGTTTGACGTCGCAAGAGCCTCATGCTGGGACTGCAGAGTCAAGTTATTTGTTCAGCGCAAGACACTTTTGAGGCTCGAGATGAAGTAGAGGCTCTCATTCGAAAGGCATGGTGGCGGGGTGGGTACCTTTCTCCGGGAAGCCCATGAATGCAAGATGAATGCAAGACTTCTTTATACTTCTTTGACTTTCGACACATGAGTTGAGTCAGTGTTCAGGTGCGGAGCATGCACAAAGAGTTGGACGCTCAGAAACTGTGCTAGAGGGCGAACATTCATACGAGGGCGAAGGTGGTGACGGGAAGCCCGGGAAGGCGGCAAATAGATTCTTTGCATTTCTTTGCTGAGGTGGCAAAAACTGCTACAGTCAGAAAACACAGCTGAGAGTCGGAAGTTTCAAGCCAGGTGCTCAGGGTGCTCAGGGTGGTTCAGACTCTTTCGGATGGCCAGAGAGGTTTAGTTAACCCCATGCTGATGGCCCCTGGCTCCAAGACGATCTCAAGGATCTACAAAAAGAGCTAGCGGCAGAGCTCTCGATTTTGTCTGGCGACCTTGCAGAGGTGGGTCAGCTTGTGATTCTTGGCACTTTAGCACTTTAATTTCAAAAAACCGGGAGCAAAACCAGCAGATTCTTGGAGATTCTTGGCACCTTTGAATACTTTTGAAGTGCCAGGTGGACGCGAGCATCAAGGCACTTCAGACGGCACAGATTTGATGCAGCTCACCAATGCTCACCACGCACACCAAGCACTGTCGCATTCCAGGCAGTGGAAGACAACAGGGAGCGCTTTCACCTGAGTGATGCCCAACTGGCAGCTCGAAAGGACGGAACAGAACCATATATCATACAAAACAAATTAAAACAAACATTTTTTGTTTGACTGTCGAGGCAAACATTGAGGGAGTTTGGGATACGGCTGTAAATAGATATACTATACCCACATGTATCTATCATACCGTATATGATACGTATATATGGTCCCGGTCTGCGGTCCGGTACCCCCCCTCCCCCAATGGTATGGTCCCCCAGGCCGGCTACCCCCTGGCTACCCCCCGGATGGTGGTCCCCCCTCCCCGGTAGCCCAGCACCCTGTAACGCAGCATCAAGTGTCTGTGCAAGTACGAGGGAAGATCTTGTAACGTAGCACCAAGCCCAAGCGTCTGTGCAAGTGTGCAAGTACAAGAGAAGATCTTGTAACCTCAAGTGCCTGTGCAAAAACAAGAGAAGGTCAATTAATGTAGCACCAAGTGTCTGTGCAAGTGCAAGAGAAGATCTTGTAGCGTTACGTCAAGCGTCTACGGAAGTAGGAGAGAAGATCTTATAACTCCTTATAAAGTTGCATCAACTGTCTGCGCGTGTAAAATAGAAGGTCATGTAACGTAACATCAACTGTGTGTGCATGTACCAGAAAGGATCCTATAACGTAGCAGCAAGGGTCTGCGCAGGTACGAGGGAGGTACTTCAACGTAGCATCCAACATCTGTGCAAGCACATACATACATACATACATACCTACATACCTACATACCTACATACCTACATACCTACATACCTACATACCTACATACCTACATACCTACATACCTACATACCTCCATACCTCCATACCTCCATACCTACTTACCTACTTACCTCCATACCTCCATACCTCCATACCAACGTACCTATATAGATACATACCTACATATCGGGCCTGCGGCCGGCAGCCCATAGTGCCAAACGTTGCTTTCTGAACTGCCTAGAAACTAGCTTCAAACCTTGCCTTTACTTGCCGTTCGGCACTGCCAGCTTCCAAATTGCTTGCTGCGTCTTGCAGGTGGCTTTCGTCTGGCACAGCTCGGGTCCAAGGACGGTGTCGCAGGGCTAAAGCAAAATGGCAGTGAAGGACGGATCGGGCCCGCGGCCGGCAGCCCATAATTGCTTCAGCTTCTTCTTCTTCTCCTCCTTCTTCTTCTTCTTTGCTTCTTGCTCGCTTGCTCCTTGCTCGTGCAGCTTGATTGCTGTCTCCTTTCCCTTTGTTTAAACTTGCTAAACATTTTTGCTCTTGCATCGGCACTTTGACACTTGCTGCATGTACGACTTGCTGCGTGCTATTGCTTCTCTGACGCGCTCCCCGTGCTGTCGGCAGGGGTCGGCGGATTCTCAGTATCCATTGAGATCCACCCCGAACTAGTCCATGCAGACAATCAGCCCATGTACCGAAGACAGGCACAGACAAGAGACCACATGTTAGCAGAAGGTTAATTTTTTTGAAGACCGATTCAGACTTGAGAATCTCAAGTCTGAAAAGGGTTCAGACTTGAAAATCTCAAGTCTCACATAGTTACCTCGAAGGACAGCCAACGCTGCAAGTTAATATGCGCTATTGCTGGGTGGAAGACACGGGCAACACTAGCGCCTTCTTTGAAAATTCGATAGCCGCGATAGCCAGTGGCCCTTCAGCTAAAGGTGGGCTAATGATAGAAAGGGAGGAAGGAGTGGATGCGTTGGTTGCTGAAAGCAAAAAGGCGGCACTGGAGAAGAGAGAGAGGAAGTGAGGCACACAGACCGGAAGATATGACAACGTAAATGCAGGAACGCGTTCAGAATGCATTTTCCCTGATCTAAGATCTAAGATTTGCTCAGGAGCCTTTGGAGACTGTTAGATTTAAATCTAAGATCTAAGATTTGCTCAGGAGTCTTTGGGAATCTTAGATTTTAATCTAAGATCTAAGATCTAAGATTTGCTGGTGAGTCTTTGGGGAATAAGATCTAAGATTTGCCCAGGAGTCTTTGAGGAATCTTAGATCTTAGATTTTGGTCAGGAAAATCGAAGGTTTGCTCAGGAGTCCGGGGGGGAATCTTAGATCTTTGATTTTGGACAGGAAAATCTCAGATTTGGTCAGGAGTCCTGGGGAAGTCTTAGATCTTAGCTCAGGAGTCCTGGGAGAGCCTTAGATCTTAGATCTTAGATTTAGCAGAGAATGCATTCTGAATGGTGCGTGTGTACAAGGTAGCCCCCTTTTGACCCAACCATGTGATGAATATGTAGAAAAGGTAGGTTTCGGGGGGGTACCATATATATATAATATGTATGTATGTATGTATGTATGTATGTATGTATGTATGTATGTATTTATCTTTGTATATATATATTTCTATTTATGTATATATTCATTTATATATATATTATATATAGAGATTATATGATGTATACATTATATTTATATGTATATAGAAATATATGTATATATATATATATATATGCTAGCCCCCTAAGATCTACCTTTGATACTTTTCCAGAGACATGCATGATGAAACTCACTGCATACTTCATCTAATTATGCAGTGAGTTTGATCATGCAAATTTTGCACGCCCTTCAAAGGAGCAGTATCCCTACAACATGTAGAGGATTCCTCTAAATATGCAGTGTTCTTTTCTGAAGAAGTGCGGTTTCCCTTCAGGAAATTATTCAGCCTTCGCTCAATCATACAGTGTTTCTTTCAAAACACAAGATTCCTACTCAATATGCAGTGTGTGATTAACATTGAGCATTGCTGTGAAAATGTGCGATGGTTGCTCATTACAGCATTCCTTGCAAAGAAAAATTGTTGTTAAAGGAAAATGCTGCGTACAGGTTACAATCTGCCTTGAAGACAAAATATACCAGTGGAAAAATGAATTACGTCCTTTTATGGAGCTCAGCCTTCCTCTAATTTTCCTTTTACAACAATTTTTTAAATGAACAACTTATATATATATAATGTTCTCAAAATAATTGCCCTGAAGACAATGTTTTACTCAAATAGCAAGAAACATTCTTGCAGAAAAATGCAATATGTGGACAGATGCAATACATCCTTTATGAGGTTCAGCCTCATTCTGAATGACAGTTGTCTTTAAAGGAAAGACTTAGTTTCTTCAAACTGATGTCGCCTATTTTGTTCAGGCGTTTCACTCATGCATACAGCCATGACATGTATCTTCCAAAAAACACTACATACACCCAAGGGTTCTAGTTCAAAGTAACGTGTTTTTTTGTGTTAATGCATGCTTTTGGGATCGAATGTTTCACTCCCTTGTGAAGGAGGCTTTGCGCATACTTGCACCCACCCTGCTTTAAGGAATACCATAGTCGGTTAAAATTGTTACTTAAAGGAATCCATTTTGTCGTAAGTCTGTCCTCCTTCCATGAACCCCTGTACCTCTTGAAGAGAACTTTGCGCAGCTGTAAGTCCCTCGAAATAACTATATTCCTTTCAAAGAAATGCCGCGCTCCTTTATATAGTTTTGCACAGCTGTAAGTCTCATTGAAAATAACTCCGTATTCCTTTCACAGAAATGTTGCACTCCTTTATATAGAGAGACTCTACAAAATGACAGCATTTTATGCAAGGAATGATGCGCCTTTGCGCTAGGAATGTCGTATTATTTGAAACATACTGCTGTACACGGCCTATACTATTGAAGAATTTTGCTTTGACAACAAACTTCAAAGTCTATGCTAAAACGTGTTTACCAGCTATATTTTCTAGTCTTGGCTGTCTGTCTGTCTTGCATTTTCTTGTGGTTTTAAGTAATTTTCTGAGAGCATACCCAAAACCATGAGAACATCAGCAAAGAATAGACACCTACCTGGATGGCGCACAACCAAATTTAGAATTATGCAGTATCTTGCTAAACCTACTGCTGCTACTCTTAAAGGACGCGGGTGTGCATTGCAACAAAACATTGATAAAACCACAAAAGACAAAAACCAGGACTTTTTCGATAATGTTTCTGTTTGAAGTTCATGCTTTGCTTTTTGGTTTGATTCCAGTTTCTGTGACTTGAGAATCTCCAGTCTGAAAAGGGCTCAGACTTGAAAATCTCAAGTCTGACATTATAAGGATCCAATATCCAAGATTCTCAAAAAACATGTCTTGGATCCAGGGCAGAAATCTTGGATCCGGATCCAAGATCCAAGATCTAAGATTTTGAAAAGCTTGTGTTGGAAAACCTTGGATCCAGCAATCCCATTTGGATCCAAGATTTCTGCCCTGGATCCAAGAAAAGTTTTTTGAATATCTTGGATCTTGTATCGGGGTCCAAGATTTCTGCCCTGGAACCAAGATTTTTTTCCAAAAGCTTGGATCTCGGATCCGGACCCAAGATTTCTGCTTGGATCTTGGATCTTGGATTCGTGCGCCCTGGGGCCCGAAGTTTGACAGCTGTTCAGACTTGAGATCCCAAGTCTGACAGCTGTCCAGACTTGAAATCCCAAGTCTGAGGTCCCACTTGTTATCTTAAATCTAATGTCATTTATGTATATGTATATGTAATTATATGTAAGTTATCTGTGTATGTGTATCTATAAAAAGTCTTTCAGGTAGATCTCAGGGGGGTCCCATATATTTATGTATATATATATATAGGTATACAGATACATCTAGATATGGATATACTGTATATATATATATAATAAATATGTATATATATATATATGTATACGTATATTTATGTATATATATGTATAAATGTAAAAATATATATATATATATGTATATACGTATATATATATATATATGTATATATATATAATATGGCATGAATATGTATATATATATGTATAACTGTATATACATAGGTATATATATACAAACATATTCACTTTATATATTTATGCATGTGTGTCAAAAGTTTATCTTTTTATTTGCATAGATTTGTATGTAAATGCATTTATGTGTGTATATATGCATATATATTTATATTTATTTACACCGATGTATACGTGTACGTAATATATGTTTATATTTATATTATTTTCCTTACGTGTATATGTATATTTCTCTCTGCATATATGTATATTTGTATAGGAGTTTGCAGATATTCCCGCCAAGTCCAAATCCCCAATGGCTGGCAGCAGGTAGTTTCAGTGTCCTCTGAAATTGAAACCACAAACACTCTAAACAGATGCGAAAAAAAAACAATGCTTCACTTCGTTCCTTCTTCGAACTACACAGATTTTTTGCTCGATGTATGATTTGGCCGTTCAGGAGTTCTTAGGTGTGAGTGCTACACTCAGTAACTGCACGGGTTGAAGGGTGTCAACGTAAAACAGGCAGCAGGAACCACGAGATGTGATTCTCCAAGGTTGGTAGAATAAATTTGCGTTGGTCAGTCAACTGTGTCACGCTTATTTTCCTTATTTCGACTGAATTTGAGGATTCTGGCGGATTCTGACAGATTTTTTGTGGACGGAGATGACTTGACTGGACTCGATCCGGTGTTGAAACCGGTCGAGGCCAAGCGGCACATCGTGAAATTCAATCGAGTCTGTCCAGCCCAGCTGCAAAAAGCAAGATGGACGAGGTCAGAACAGTCAGAACAGTCAGAACATCGAAAATGCGAGCGTTTCTGTCAATCTGTCAAGTTCTTGACACCAGAAAAAATGCAGCAAATTTGACTGAATAGCCCCGCATTTTTTTTCCCATTATTTGGAGCATGAGAGAGAGAGAGAGATAGTGAAACTATTAACGTGCTGCCAATCAAAAACCAGTGTGAAGGACCAAAAACAAGTTCTTTTTCGGCGGCAAAAGCAAGCTGAAGAGACCCAGCAGAGGCTCACTTTGCACAACAGCCATACAGGATTCTTACCAGTCTGCATAGATTTCATAGTATCCCCAATGGTATATTTCTACAACGTTTTGGCTGGGATTAGCAGAATCTAATTTTGCAGGGATCCAACTTCACCTAAACTTGCCAAGAGAATCCTCTGTTGTGCTGCTCAGACGACCATGTATGACCAAACTTTTTTTTTTGACTTGAGGCAATTGGCCCAAGAAAGCAAAGCCTTCTTGGAAGAACAGAGATTGCTGCAGAGACAGCTCATAGCGCAACAGGAGGACCAGTGAACTTCCGTGAGCTGAAACACTAGAAACACAGGGAAGCAAAGGACACACAAATTCTCATATTGGAAGAGATCATTGATAAAACAAGGTCATATGGCATTCGTCCAAATTGGCGCCAAAACTCTTGCAATCTCTTGAGCTTGGAGACGACGTAGAGTTGTTAGCCCGTGCTAGTCCTCGAGATGGTTGACCAAATCGCACTCATTTCCAACACGAGATGCTTTTGCTTTCGAAGGATGAACTCCTGCTCTTGGAACAAGGTGCACAAAGGCTTGGCCAGGCTTCTCTTCTCAGAGGGGAGCATTCTGAGCAGATAACAAATTCATTCAGGAGCACTGGCAAAATCCATTGAAGGCAGTCTTTTCTAAGCTTGTAGTGACTCGAATCACTCGAACATGCCTTCTTTGAAATGCTGATCGCCTCAATCTGAAAGGGGTCACTGCTTTTTTTCTTGATAGATTTTGTTTGTGACTTTTCTCGCACTCCAAAGAGTCCGGCTGTTCCAACTATTTCAATAAACATGAAGAAGATGAATAAGCTCTCAAGAAGGCACTGCCAGTGGTTGTGTTTGAGGTAATCTCCCAGACCCCACTCGAGGTTGCACATACTATCAATGGTGAGCTAGAAAGCTGCAAACTCAATGGGCAGAACAGCGAAGAGTGACCATGTATAGACTGTCACTTGTAAAGAAGCCATGCCACGATCTGATTTCACTGTTTAGGTCAGCAAAAATTGCTTGATGAGCCTGTGTCTAAGCAACATCACCTCTATTTAGCCAATTTCGCAGAACAATGTCATATTGACTGAAAGTTCGCTGCAAAGAATGAAGGCTCAACCAGGATATAGAGAAAGAGGCCGTGCAAACGTTTTTGATCTTGAAAGACAATCTGCTTGACAGTCTGTGCCCATGTTGTCCCAAATGCCCTGGCCATTGCCGGACAGATGGAGCGAATGGACGTGGTGACAAAAGGTATGGGCACCCTTCTAAAGACGAGCAATAAG